GACTTCACTGATTAATTCCATCTCCAGTAATCTTTCCCCCTTGAATTCCTTCAGCATTCTTGTCTAGTTTCTACCATTCTACTTAGTATTCTCTTTCATACTGTTTCATGTTTGTAAGTCTTGTCTCCTTGACTATGAAAAAGCCCCTTGAAGGAAGGGACCGTCTTCTCCCAATTCAACTCACATGACATTTACTGAATGTGTTAACTTGTTATTTAACAATTTAAAGCCTCAGTTTCCTTATTTGTTACATGGGGATAATGATGTCTGCCTCACAGGGATGTTCAGACAATAAAATGAGACAATATATTGAGAGTGGTTTGTAAACCAAAAAACATACAAAGGATAGGCATTACCAACTTAAAAAAAATGGTGACAGACTCTAGAAATGAAAGAGTATGCTGAAATTACATGAATAAACTTAGAGAAAAGCAGTATTAGTTATATATCTTACACATAGAAACAAATTCGCTAATGATCAAATTCAATTTTTAATGAACCTGCAAGTTTTTAATGAAACACTTTCATTGAATTGAGTGTTTCGAATATGAGTTTTGGTTCTTACATTGTCACTAATTTGGTGATGTAACTAGTTAACCTGTGATAATTTAAGTACTTTTCCAGCTCTAAACATCTGATACACAATTTAATTTGTATATCTTACCTATGTCTTTTGGACGTCAGTTTTGTTATCTATAAAATGGGAAATGCAGATCTAATCAAAACCCTTTTTAGAACTTTACAGAATGGATGTTCAAAGAAATATTAACCTTGGACAGAAGTCTCTTGGAGAAAAAAAAAAAATTTCCTTGGAGGAAAGCTACGTACTAGATAGTGCATCCCTTTAAATATTAGCAAAGCACATTACCATATCAAATGCTATGAGTAAACCAGTTTAACTTTATTTTACCCAGTGTTTCATAAAATTATTTGGACCTGGAATAGTTTTTTCAGTTTTAAAAAATTTATTGATTTGAGAGAGAGGAAGGGAGAGAAAGAAACAGAGAGGGAGGGAGGGAAGGGAGGGTGGGGCAGAGAGAGAGAGAGAGAGAGAGAGAGAGAGAGAAACATTGACTTGTTGTTCCACTTATTTATGCATTCATTGGTTGATTCTTGGATGTGTCTGGACCAGAAATTGAACCTGCAACCTTGGCATATGGGGACAATGCTCTAACCAACTGAACTACCCACCAGGGCAGGAACAGTTTTTTTTTTCAGATAACATCTATTTAGCGTCCGGTGAAACTAATTTTCTAAGGCACATAGTTTGGACTGCCAACATGAATAGTCTTAGGTATTAGATGTAGTCCAAGCAAAGGGAAAAGTACACCCTTATGAGATGTTCTCTGCTAGTCTTCATGCTTGCTGTGGCTTGTAGCTTTATCTTTAGTCAACAGAGACTTTGAAAAATCATGTTTCTGTTAGTCATTGATTATCAAGTCTCCAAGATAATTAGAAAACTTTTTAAGTCTCTCAGATTATTAACTTCATCCTCTTGTTCTCATAAAAACATGAAATTTGGCAATCACCTCAGATACAAAATATCAACTCAAAATAAAAACATAAGAAAAATTTTCATCTCCAGGATCAATTTGAAACATATAAAATTAGGTCAGGTTAATATCTGCAGAATATATCTGCCAAGGTGAAGATTATGTCATGATTTATTTTTGGTTCTAGTCTTTCCACTGGATCATTAGGTAACCAGGGATAAATTAATTCCCTTAAGGCTGAACTGAGACATATGTTATTTCAAAATGATCTTATTTTGCAACCTTAGCAGTTATTCTAATAATTTCAGAAAAATTTTTTGGTTTGTTTTCTTCAGAATACGTCACAAGAATTAAATGTTTAATTAATTACAGCATTTATTTTTGCCAACATAATTTATAGACAGACTTTAAACAATTTGCAAATATGTCAAAGCAGGCAATAATCACTTTGTTTTATTGTGAAGTATAGCTTACAAAATTAAAAATGTATAGGTAGTATAAACAACAATGATAAAATTGATCTTTGTAACCCAGTTCCAAAAGGTATTTTTTAAAATTAAAATTTTATTGATTTTAGAGAGAGGGGAAGGGAGGGAGAAAGAGAGGGAGAGAAACATCAAAGTTCAAGAAAAACATCTATTGATCAGTTGCCTCTTGCAGGCCCTCAGTGGGGCACCTAGCCTGTAACTCAGCCATGTGCCCTCACCAGTAATTGAAACTTTCAGTTTTCAGGAATGATGCCCAACCCACTGAGTCACAGCAGTCAGAGGCAAAAGGTATTTTTGAAACATCTGTTCGATGGCCTCTTAGAGAGGTTGAGTGCTGCATGGAGAAAGGGCAAAGGTGGGCCATGAGTTGCAGTAGGGGTACTGTCAGGGATTGAACAAAATGTTCCTCTCAACTACATTCAGAATTCTCCCTTGGAGATCTGTTAAATATGACATTCTTCATCTCATTAGATTTCCAATGATGTTTGACAGGTCTTCGAGATTGGGGCTAGCTGTGCTCCTTAGTCCACTTCTCTTCTATTTGATTGGGATATACACATAGAAAAACAACTCTCTCTTGTTCGATCAAGGGCTCTCTTAGGAGAGGCATCAATGTCTCTTCAAAACAGACCATCAGGTTTCCAAGAGTGGGGCCTTTGTTTTCCTCCCAAAGAAACTATATTGGTTTTGCAGCAATAACAGGCCCTGTACCGAAGGGATTTCCAGAGTGACTTTTGGTAGGTAATATCAGTCATTGTGGAATAAAATCTTGGATCCTGTTGGTTTAGGTCCCATTATTCAGTATGAAGTTTCCTATTAACTAGGACTTATTGTCCCTTTCCCATTCTGTATGGGAGGGAAGGGGAATTTTAAAAGTTCGTTATTCATTCTACTTTGCACTTTTCTGTTTCAGCATTTACCATGTTATTGTAGTTAATTATTTAATACCTTATGTCCTCATTTATAAGTGGATACTCTCCTTGGTTATAATGATATGGTTTTATTCTTCTTTGTAAGTGACTAGTGCCTAGAACAATGCCTACCACTTATTGGGTATTTATGTCAATTTAATGAATGAAAAGAGAGCAGATATTTGGATGGTCTGCTTCTAATTGAGCATTTGAAATAATTCAGTAGAAAGCAACACATGGTGTAGTGCCCTAACTAGCTGGATGACAAATTTACTCTTCTGTTTCTTTAGATCTGTGAATAACACGATTGGATTAGATTAGGTATTACTAACCAGGGATCAGTGGGCTTCAAGGTATTTTTGACCTCTTAGGCCATGTAAAGTTAAAAATCAAAGGACCAATGACTTCGTAGAGATTTATTATACTACTCCATAACGTTTACTGTAGCTGCAATAACACATACGTGGAAAATAAAACTGCATCGTGCCCGTGGCAATACGTATTTGCATACACCCTCGGGTTTGTCCAGATCTCCTTATGCCTTGGCCTCAAAACATAAAAACATGATGACAGATTCTGGTTAATTTTTTTAATTTAATTTTATTTAAAAAATATTTATTTATTTTTAGAGAGAGGGGAAGGGAGGGAGAAAAAGAGGAAGAGAAACATCAATGTACCACAGATACTTCTATCGATTGCCCCTCCATACCCCCAACTGGGGACCTGGCGCGTGTTCCCTGACTGGGAAGCCAAACGATGGCCTTTCGTTTCCCAGGTCAGCACTCCATCCACTGAGCCACACCAGCCAGGCTCCTGATTAATTTTTGAATGCTAAATTCTCAGCTTGTAGCCGCTCCTAATAGGCGGCTGACCGACCAGTGGGGTGAGTGCTTCATATACACAGGATATTGGCTAGGAAGGTACACAGATATTAGGAGTTGTATCCTTGACCCGTGTCTCAGTTGGTTGGGCGTTGTCCCAAAATCCCGGATTTGTTTAGGGTCAGGCCACAAGATTGGGTTGCGGTTCGTCCTGTTGGGATTGGTGGTGTAAGAGAGGCAACCCATGATTCTCTCACATCGATGTTTCTCTCCCTTTCTCTAAAAATACATACTAAAAAAAAAAAAAAAAAAAAAGTGGTTCTGGCCTTGAGGAGGTTGGAAGTCTAACCACGAAGGCAGAGGAGTATTTAACAGAAAGATTCGACGGGCGGTGAGACAGACCACAGCCGCGGAGGCGGACGCAGATAGCTGAGATCGGAAAACCGACTCAGCAGTGGACTTCGGCAGTGTGCCGGGGGTATGTAGCCGGAGTAAACACCCGACTCGCTTCTGAGGTTGACGTGCCCCAGGCCTGGACGACGCGTCCTCCTTGCCCCACCCCCCACCGGCCTCCAAGCCTCCCAGGAGGCTGAGCGGCCGCCAAATCCGGACGTCCCAGAGTTTCCCCGCAGCCGGTGGCTCTGAAATGGCCTTTTGTTGTAAAACTTGGGTTTGGAAGGAGGCAGAGGGGAAAATAGTGGAAAAATTCACGGGGCGGAGACGTGAGCAGCGAAAAAGAGGGCACCTGAGAGACCAGCTCCCAACCAGAACCAAGGGAGAAAAGCCCCTCGCGCGGTTCCCCCAGAGGCGCCCGCCTTCGGCCACCTTCGAGAGTTTCGGCTCTTTCCGGCAGTTCTAGCTGGGGTGCAGCACTCCCAGCGCACTATCCCCCACCCACACGCCGCCCGCTTTTTCTGGGCAATTGCAGTTCTGCACGTTGTTACGAGTTCGCGTCCCACTCACCCCCGCCTCCTTCTATGAGTTTGTTTTGGACCCACTCCTCCAATCCTTCCCTTTCATTGTTATTGCAATTCCCGGCGACACCCAAGCTCCCTCAACTCAGGCGCGAGGGACTTGGTCGCGAGAGGAACGGTAACCCGACTGACTCCAGACCGCCTCCCTCCCGGAGCCTTTCCACTAGCACGCCAGGTTCGCGCCGGCGCGAGCACGCGCCCTGTGCGCTGGCTGGCTGGCGCGCACGCGCCCGAGCGCGCTCCGGGGCGGGGCGAACAGCTAGAGCCCTGGCGAGGCCGGTGTGGATCCGCTGGCGCTCCGGCCCGTAGTCGCGGCTGCGATTCCCAGTCTGCCCGCCGGCAGAGAAGGGAAGCGGGGAAAGGGGCGGGCGGAGGCGGGGCGGCATCCGACTCTGGGAGAGCCGAGGGAGTATCGCGGAGGCGACGTCGCCGGCTCTGGAAGAGGCGAAGCAGGCGGCGGAGCTCCTTTCCCCTTCTCAGACCCCGGAGCGTCCAGGACGTAGAGCCCGGAACTGGGGGGACGCGACGACTGCGGGGGCCCGCCGTAGGTGAAGCTGAGCGTGCTGGGTGGAGGAGGTTGGTGGGGGATAAAGGAGGCACAGAGGGTGCAGAGAGCGGGCTTGAGGGAGGGTACTGGGGAAGGGGTAGTTGTTGGGGGTTGGGTACGGAGAGGTGGGGATGTGAGCCCTTGGGACTTGGAGTGGCCAGATGGTGGAAGGTTTTTGGGGTCTGTGGCGGGCCGAAGCACACTGGTCCGAGTTGGGGTGTTTCCAGAGGCATAGGCCGGGGAAACAATGGAGCGAGGGGTTCTTTGGTGTGACCGTGTGGGGGGTATTGGATTTTAAGAAACAACAAGAGATGGAAAATAATGAAAGAATGGGTTAATTTAGGAGAAGTACAATGAATTGGGAATGCAGTCGGGATGCGTAAGGTCATCTGAGTGGATGCTGGAGGCCCTTCAGATTTGGGGCCAAAGTGGAGGCCCTGGCCACGTAGCTCAGTTGGTTAGGGCGTCCTCCAGATACGCTCAGGTTGCCGGTTCGATTCCCGGTCAGGGCACATAAAACAATCAGCCAGTGAAATCAATGTTTCTCTCTCTCCCTTCCTCGCTCTAAATCAATTTAAAAAACAAAAAAGATTTGGAACAAAGTGGGATTTGAAAATAAGAGATAGAAGAGCATTTTTGGAATTGAGAGGAGGACAGGAACAAAAAATAATGCGAAGTGGGACAGAGAAATAAAACAGACGTGGTTTGGGCTTGAATTAAAGCAGAAGGGTACAGCCAATTAGAGAGTATGGGTAGGTGGACTAGAGTGACTTCTTTTCTTCTTGTTCATCCAGGTTGATTGGGTTCTTTTGGAAGGTGGATCTTTCTCAGGCTTGTCCCTCTGCTAAGGAGTACAAGCTGTTCTTTAAATAATTTGGTTTTCATTTGTAGTCCGTTTGATGATAAAGCATGCCTGTAATAGTTATTTTTCCTCTGTTCATCAGGTTATGTACATAATTTACCTGTGGTTAATGAAGCAGGAGAGGACACATAACTAGAAACAGGCATCTTGCTTTTGACTCAAGTCAGTGATAATGCAGAGTTCAGGGTATTTGGGGGAGAACCAAGACCAAAAGGTGACGAGTAGCCTTGATAAAATCTAAGTTAGCTGTACTTGTTAGAACTGCAGTTTCTCACTGAGAAAATTTCACATATCATGTGCTGCTAGTTTTAAGTTCGTGGGAGAGAGTTTGTGTGCTGTCTCAGAAAATTCTTGATGTTGATTTCAAATTATCAGGCTGCTTTATACCTTCCAGTTTAAATGAAGGTGATTTGAAAATCACCTTATTTGAAAATATTGTGGGAAAGTATTTCTGGAGTTACGATCTTTGCATTTCCTTGATACTTGGATTTCCAAACTAAATTTTGAATCGTATTAGATAACAAGATTGCTGATTTTGAAATTGTAGTTACCTTTATGTGCTCATAAATAGTCCATGTTAAGCTTTGTATTTGTCGGGCATTAAGTTTTGCTGACTCATCTAAGATTTCTGGGAATTCATCAGTTTATGTTTTTCACACTAGGTTTTGGATAGTAGCATTAGAGCACTTTATAAAGGTCCATAAATAGTGATCTATATCGTCACTTTTCTTATATGTTATAAAAACTGACCAAAGCAAGGAGTGAGTACACTGTCCTCATTAGTGATAATGTGGCTCCTTATTGACCACTTTCAGTGGGCTAGGCAAGGTGCTAAGATTGTTTTAAATGCATTATCTCATTTAATATTTAAAAAAACACTTTATTTTATTTTGTTTTATTTTTTTTTGAGGCGGGGGAAGAGAGGGAGAGAGACATCAATCAGTTGCCTCTCCTGTGTGTCCTGAGCGGGACTGAACCTGCAACCCAGGCATGTGCCCTGACCAGGAATCGAACCAGCGACCTTTGGCTTTGCGGGACAATGCCCAACCAACTGAGCCATACCAGTCGGGGCTATCTCATTTAATTTAATCCTCACAATTATTTCCCATTTTATAAATTAAGAGGTGAAATAACTTACTGAGGTCACAGAGCTAGTAAGTAAAGCTGAATTCAGACCCAGCTCTGTTGGATGCCTTTAAATCTTCACTGCCTGGTGGGTCTTCCAGCTTTCTCCCTCCTTCAGTCTTGGTTGTGGTACAAGCAGCATGAATTGGTTGCAACTTGGGTCTGATGTGATATTAGTGATTTAGATGAAGATTGGGTTAGTGGGTTATACCTGTAGAGTTAATTGAATGCTTGCTCCTGTGATTTAACAAATTTGGGGTCCTGATAATAGGGCTAAAATATCTTGCTAAGGGTTTGTCCTGTGAGCACAGTTAATTTTCTGCTTAGTGTACTGCTTAAGTACTGTGCATATGTGGCACTCTTCCTTGTAGAAGTCAAGACAGCCAGTTGTGGAACCAAAACCAGTTCATGCTGGAAAACCATCAAAACTGCTGAGTGCTCAAGTACCCTCCAAGGACCTGTTGAGTCCACAGTTGGTACTGGCATTATCTCTAAATATATATAGGATCCTCTTAGAAACCCCAAGTGAAACAACTAGAACTGAGAGAAACAGCTGGGACCTGAGGAAGGAGCCATAGGTTGCTGGCCAAAACATCAGCATAGCCCCTGGAGGCTGATTCAGGAGTAGCAAAGGGCAGATACTAGTAAATGGCAGGAGGGGAGGGCGTTACATGTTGAGCATTTATGTATTCTAGGCATCAAACTCAGTGTGTGTGTATTGTCAGATCTTCAAACAGTCCTTAAAGGTAGGCATTAATTCCCATCTTTCAGATGAAGCCCAGAAAGGTTAAATAATTCGTACAAAGTCAGTTAATAGGAGTGAAGGAAGTTTGTATATTATTATTATTGTTGTTATTTTAAATTGCTGCTTGCAGTGTTCCACTGTAGAAACACATATTATAATAAAACTGATATTAAAATCGGGAACTTAAAAGTCACATTTTAGGATCCATTGTGCTTCTTTGTTAGAAGTAAAACTGGTTATTTCAATATTGCTGTTTCCATTGGAGACTGGAAGAAAAAGCTTTCTTTTCTTTTTTTTAATGGGAAGGGGCTTCCATTGATTTATTTAACAAAAATAACCTCTTATAGAATATAATTCAACTTCTCAGCTTCTTTGGTTACTTGGTATACATCTATAGCAACATGGAAATGGCATGTCTATCCCTCCTGTATTCTGAGATTTGAAAAAAAGAAAAAAACTTTAACATCTAATCTTTTATTATTCTTGGCAAATGGGGGATACTTTTTAAAAAATTACCCTCACTCAAGGATATGTTTATTGATTTAAGAGTGAGGAAGGGAGGGGGCACATCAATGTGAGAGAGAAACATTGATCGCCTCCTGTGCACATCCTCACTGGGGATCAAACCCGCAGCTTTTTGATGTAAGGGATGGGATGATGCTTCAACCAGCTAAGCCACTAGGCCAGGGCTATTCTGAGATCTTGACTTTCAGGTAAGTCATCTAGGCTCTGGAGGATGACAGTGAAGCATACCTGTTACAGACTTTGACCACTTCTCTTGATATATATTTGCCACAAAAGTTAGATGATCATTCTTGGTTACTTTGAAAAAATTGTCGTAAAATATACATAACAAAATATACCATTTAAACCATTTTTAAGTGTACAGTTCAGTGAAATTAAGTATAATCACATTCCTATGCAACCATCACTACTGTCTATCTCCAGAACACTTTTTATCTTCCCATACAGAAACTCTGTATCTACTAAACAATAACTTCCTATTCTTTTCTTTTCCCAGACCCTGGCAGCTGTCATTTTACTTTCTGTCTCTGTGACCATAACTACTCTGGATACCTCATATAAATGGAATCATAGTATTTGTCCATGTGTGTCTGGCTTGGCTTATTTAACACAGTGTCCTCAAGGTTCATCATTGTTTTAGCCTGTGTCAGAATTTTGTTCCCTTTTAGGACTGCATTATATTCCACTGTATGTGTATACCACACTTTGCTGATCCATTCATCAATATAGATACTTGGATTGTTTCTACCTTTTAACTATTGCAAATAATTCTGCAGTGAGCATTGGTATACAAATATCTGATTGAGTCCCTGCTTTCAACTCTTTTGGGTATGTACCTAGAAGTGGGATTTCTGGGTCATATGGTAATTCTGTGTTTAATTTTTTGAGGAAGCTTAGTTACTCGTAAATGTGGTTTTATTATGTGTTCACCCGAAGGTAGTGCTTGGCCTTGTGTTTGAGGAATGATGTTTCCTCTACTGATGCTTTCTGTACTGTTCATAAGACACTTGTACTGGAAATGATTCAAAAGGAAATGATTTACCCAGTTTTCATGGCTTTCTCTTAGCTTCTGCCTACTTATATTTATCATGACATCTGGGAGGCACATTAAAATACATTTCAGCTTAGCAATAAAAATACTTTTGAAAATCTTTTAGACACTTCAGCTGATGAGTAAAATGGAATTTCTCTTCTATAGTGTGAAATGTATCCAATGTGGGAGGAATCATTTATGATCTTTTCAATCATACCTGGGTGATCATCTCAAGAACATTATCTGTATGTGTATTTGAAAAATGTGTCAATAGTGTAGCATTCAGTTTACTTCGCTGCCTTTAATTGAAATTTAAGGTACTTTTTTCATTTTAAAATGTTTTACATGTGTGGGCTACTGATTACTGCTTATCTTTGGTATCCCTTCCTCATTCATTGAATAAGGTTTTAGTGTCTGCTATGTGCTTTAAATATTTCAGGAAGGTAGCTGTAATACAGGAAGTAAAATTGGCTGAAGTCATTTGTTTGATTCCATTTTCCCCCCTCCCTTCATATGTGAAAGAAAGTTGACACACGATACCAATACAATAGGTTGAAGTAGCTGTAGACTGACGGTGAACTCTGTCTTAGGATGAGTCTAACCTCCCATGTCATTTTTTCTAAATGCCACCAAGAGGTTAATTATACCTGCATCTTGCTTCTTGAGATGATTGGGTTTCAAAGGGACTTCAGGCTCATGTGCCATTTTCTG